TTTCTATTTTCTTCTTTTCTTTTCTTTCTTTCTTTCTTTCTTTCTTTTTTTTTTTTGAGTCAGGGTTTCTCTGTGTAGTTCTGGCTGTCCTGGAACTCACTCTGTAGACCAGGCTGGCCTTGAACTCAGAAATCCGCCTGCCTCTGCCTCCCAAGTGCTGGGATTAAAGGTGTGCACCACCACCGCCCGGCTATCCATGGCTTTCTTATTGGTGACCACAGTGACATGTTTAACCAGAAGGATGAGCTCACCAACCCGGTTGGAAGAGGATAGGACATGGGAAGTTGTAAAATTCACGAGTGTGCAGAGGGCAGTAGGGGCGTGGGACCTGGAGGTGAGGGAACATGAGGGGATCATCAGTCCCAGAAAGGGACTGGTCAGAGGACATGGAGATCTGAAGCAGTCGAAGGTGGAAGGCTCTGGGTTTGCCTGGCTTTAGTCCACTCACCTGCTACATAACCTTTGGCAAAATGCTACCATTTTGAATCCTGACTCTTTTCAACTGAAACCAAGAGGGCTATATTAGATGTCCCCTAAGGTCCCCTTCAGTCTTCAAGTCTCTACTCTTGAGTGTCCTGATGGAAGGAAGGATCTCTCTCTCTCTCTCTCTCTTTTGGTTTTGGTTTTTTGAGACGGGTTTCTCTGTGTAGCTCTGGCTGTCCTGGATCTGTAGACCAAGCTGGCCTCAAACTCAGAAATCCACCTGCCTCTGCCTCCCAAGTGCTGGGATTAAAGGTGTGAGCCACCACCGCCCGGCCAGAAGGAATTCTCTTATCTTTTTCTGTCCCAGGGTCCCCAGTTCACCTTCTCCCAGGATGACTTCCTGACTTCCATCCTGCCATCCCTCAAGGAAATTGACACCATGGTCTTCATTTTTATCCTGGATGGTGAGCAGGAGGATGGGAATGGTGGGGTGGTTTAGAAGAGCTGCCATTTTTCTGAGTCTCAGGGTGCCTTGTCAGAGGGAGGGTGTCTTATGGTATCCTATTGTCACTATAAGACACCATGACCAAAAGCAACTTGGGGAAGGAAGGGTTTATTTCATCTTACAGTGTATAAGTCTATCACGGAGGGGAGTTAGGGCAGGAACTGAAGCAGAAGCCATGGGCAAGTGCAACTTAACTGTTATTCCCCAGGGCTTGCCAGTCTGCTTTCTTATAGCACTCAGGACCACCACCCCAGGGGTGGCACCGCCCACTGTGAACTGGGCCCATCAATCAATCAAGAAAATGCACTACAGGCTTGCCTACAGGCAAGTCTAGTGGGGGCATTTTCTCACTAGATGTTCCCTTTTGCCAAATGATTCTGGCTTTCGTCAAGTTGACATAAAACTATCCAGCACTGAGGGACCAAATGAGTGTGTCCTGTTAGGACACTGGAGTGGCAGGAAGAACCATTTCATAATCCAGCCTTTTACCTCCAATGTCTCCTATCCTATCCAGATAACCTCACAGAAGTACAGGCCCTGGTTGAAAGGATGAGGGAGAAGAGCCGGAACATCGAGGCCCTGGTGCACAGCACTGTGGGGCAGTCCTTGCCAGTGAGTGTCCGGCACTGGGGAGAAGACCTAGGCATAGTGCAGCGAGGCCTTCTGGAACAAACTGCTCTGTTCATCTTTCTCCTCAGGCCTCTCTAAAGAAACTTTTTTCCTCGCTCATCAGCATCACATGGCTACTTCTTTTCTTCGATTACGAAGGGAGAGCTACGTTCAGGTAGGTGGGGATGAGAAGGCAATGTTTTCTAAGAAGGAGAGGAGTCCAAAGCCCCCAAAGCCATATGGATGGGGGAAAGCCTAAATATTTGTTTAGTCTTCCCTCTTCCCCCTTCCCCAAGCTGGTTAAACACTCTATTTATTAGGTCTCTAAAGAGAGTTGCCAAGGCAACAGGGTTCGATTCTTTCTAGGAATATACAGAAAGGACAAGACAGGCCAATGGTTACACACTCAATGTTTTTTGGGACAGGTTTATTGTTGACATTGAAGTCATTCTCACCACCCAAAAGCTTTTAAGGCACTTTCTTTTGCGTGGCACACTATGCTGAACATAACCCAGATATTACCCCGATGGAGTCCTCCCTCAATAGTGAAATTATAACCCGGGAGATGCACTGAGAGGAATCATAGAAATATTGAGCAGTTTGTACACACTTTGCAGTTGGGCTTGGAGTGCTCACCAGGAACTCTAGGTGTCAGTCCAGCTCGTGTGGCCCAAGAAAGAAAACAAATTTTTATTTCTGTACTTTACTGTTCTTACACAGGACTTGCCTGCGCTCCACAGGGCAGAAGCAGGGCCCAGAAGGAGTCTGGGGGAGATTCAGTCTTTCATCATTATTCAAACTGCTTCCTTCTGGAAGCTTCTAGATTTAATCAGATGGGGAGCCACCACACCACCTCACAGAACCTAGAGCTCTTACAGAAATGTTTCTCCACAGTGGGAGCTCCACTCTCCTTTGTCTTTTGTTCTAAATAATGTTTCAGTGTTCTGTCTCTGCTTCTTAGCATGCTTCCCACATTCATTGATTCCTCCAACATTGTCTGTTTTTGGAGAAATCTTCTCTGATGAACTTTACATTGTCTTGGCTCTCCATATCATATTTTTCTCCAAGCTAACACAATCATGGTCCCTAATACAAATACAGCCCTGTATACCCTGGTGATTATTTCATATCATTTATCTCAGTTCTCATAGCAATCTCCCAAAGCATGTGTGTTCATTTTTGCCATCTCCCCAGCGCCTTATTTCTGCTTTTAATGTAGTGACATTTTATTTAGATTTTTGTCTGTATTCCAATTTATTAGTTTTTTTTCTTTGATTTCTTTTAATCTTTCATTTGATTTTGGTTTCATCTCTCCACATGGAATTGTCTGAGAGAAGGTTTCTGCTGAAGTCTGGCTCCAGCAGGGTTCAGGTCCCAAAGAAGAGGTGTGGGGTTGGTGAAGGAAAGAGACTGACATTACCTGAGGGTGAATCAGGATAGCTAGTGGTTATTGAACAAAAGGACACACCTTTCTGAGTCTTTAATTGCATAATAGCTTAGCCATTAGCAATCTTGAAAGCAGACTTAATGATAACAAGAAATATATGATCTTTTCACAAATTGTTTTTAACCTATTTTAGCCCTGTTTTAACATCCAGAATGAATGATATCATCAGCTTTATTACAGCATTTTTCTTTGAAGCAAAAGCAGTAAGTTGAGCAAACATCTAAGTCCCCATGGTTCTTTAAGGTTCAGCAACCCTGCTACATGTCCTTTGCACCTCCTTCTGCAAGGTCTCAGCCTTTGTGGTCTGGGGGTACCACATCGAGTCCTGCAAAACAAACCCCTGAGACCAATTTTCATTCCTCCAGGGGCCTGATGCAGTGTTTGTACCAGGAAGCACAACAAGCATTGAGCCATTTCCTAATTGTGTTCCTGTATGCCTTGGTCTTACAATATGGGCCTGTTCTCCTCCTAAGATCCCCAAAGGGAAGGTCCTGATGTCTTCCTATTTCTCCATTGTGCCATACCATCCTAATTTCTTCAATGTATGCTCCTGTATATGTCAGAGAGGGATCAAGCCAGTCTAACTTTAACAGAATCTGCTTCTTGTGAGGCATATCAGGTCTTGCCACTCATCCTGTGAGCCTGGGCCCACTGTTTCTCTCCATTGTATGCTTTCATCCTTAGGACCAGGTGTATGTAAGAGTTTCTGGCACCAGATCTCAGTTAACAACTCTACAGCTTCTCTATTCTTGGTGCAAACAGGGACACAAAGGGGGTTCTTGTGCAGGAGTAGGCAGAGTTACCATGCTATGTGGATCCACGGTGGTGGGGATTTGTCTCTAAAGATTTACTTTGGGGACTGGAGAGATGGCTCAGTGGTTAAGAGCACTGACTGCACTTCCAGAGGTTCTGAGTTCAAATCCCAGCAACCACATGGTGGCTCACAACCATCTGTAATGAGATCTGATGCCCTCTTCTGGTGTGTCTGACGACAGCTACAGTGTATTCATATATAATAAATAAATAAAAAAAAAAAAGAAAAGAAGATTTACTTTGTTTAGCAAGACTGCTATTGTATACATTCATATCCTTTACCAAAGCCCATACAAAATTTCCCAAAGAAAAAAGGCATAAGAAAACTCCCATAATGCATAGCGAGAATCATAAAAAATGATAGTCAAAGGATTTCTGGAGAACTGTGATCTGTGACATCCACCTGCTGGAACTTGGTGAAGCAGCAGTGGTCGCTGAGATTTCCACTGGACATTGTCCTATTTTGTCTTCTGCTGCTGTGATAAAACCCTGACCATAACCAACTTGGAAAGGAAAGTTTATTCCATCTGACACTTTACAATCCATCATTTCAGAGAGTCAGGGTAGGAGCTCTAGCAGGAAGTAGGTGCAAATGCAGGGATCATGGAGGGAAGCTGCTTCCTGGCTTATTCTCCATGGCTTTCTCAGTTTCCCTTCTTTTTACATTTTTTAATATTTTCTCTCTCTCTC